GATAGTATAGTGTAGATACTATTTGCAATGATTTAATACCAGGAAACGACACGGCATCGACGTATTACTTATTAACGATACTATTTCTCGAATCCGCTGTCTTACTCATACAATAACCCTGAAAAGGTAGTGATCGATTCGTACGTATCCCTCGTACATAGTTACGACGAAATATGTATATCTTACGTCAGTACCACGTGTTTTCAACGTAGAATTCGTCTGCGATACAATAGAATACCCAGGCTTACAGTTTCGTAATAGCAGATTGATTACCGAACCGATGGAACGGCTACATTTTAAAAAGCTGTAAACGCAATTCGTCACGGTAACGCGTACAAGGTAACATGCGTAAATGGTAGCAAGCAGTAACCGAAAGACTACTTGTACTGTGAAGACAGATAAAGACGAAGGATCGAATGAGGCAAGGGAAGCGCAACGACGTGTGCAAATAGTAGAGAACAACGATCGGGAACATGTTCACTGGAGGAATGAACGTGCTCGAAGTGTATACACATATGTACATACATCGCACGCGAAACAGCGACAGAGGCCATGACGCGACGCGTGACGTAGCGATTCACGAACTCACCATTGAGATGTTGATAGCTGTTCCTCTTCCGTGTGCGTAGCTCGGTGTCGCTGGGGCACTGGATTTAACTACACACGCGTCTGCAGTCGGAGATTCACTGTCAGCGTGGCTGCTAACGCAGTGTGCACGCCGGTTGTAAACCAGCCGCCTGGCGAATCGATACTGCGCGAATCAAAAGCACGAACAGTCGTTTCACTCGTGAAAAAAACTGTATGACGCGACCGTACGATGCACGAAACGACGAGGAGATTGCGTGCAGAAGAACGACGGGCAAGATGTCGTCCCGGGAAATTTGCCAAACAGTTTTTTCGTCCGTGTATACACTTATTACGCACACGACATAAGCGACATCGAAACGAGCCGGACGATAACGGCCGTTAGTCCGCTACTTGCCGGCCAATCGCAGTAACGCAGTACAGACGTGCGAGAGAGAGAGAGAGAGAAAGACGGATGATTATGACAAAGACAGTATCATAACTTTTCAACCATCGCTGTCTGATTTCAGTCTGTCTATGAAACGAACGGGTTACAGTGTACTCGCAACGCCAATTTTCTGTGTTCTACGTGTCGCGCGCTTCGACAACTGCCCGACCGTCTCCGAACTTTGTCGATCCTTACCGAAGGATCAGTTGAATTTGAAGCCCTTTGCGGTCTCGAACGTGAATAATTTTTTCTGTATTTTAGAAACTTTATATGTATTTTTTTTTTTTTAGTTAGAAACTCCAGAAACGGAAAATTTCATTTTGTGGTATTTTACAGTAATGTTACATTTGCCGAGGCATAAGTTTTGAAGCACAAATTCGTTCTAACGAAAATTTGAATTTTGATTGGATTCATAGAAATAATTGATATCTCATGGTTGTAACAGAGATTATATGATATATAATTATACAATTTTATACTTTCACTTAAAAATATTCATTTTCCTATTTCAGAATTCAGAAGTCAGAGCAAATAATCTCTCTGCTCAGTCGGACAAATAAATGCGAATGTTGGAACATAGTGCCATCTACCAGAATCAACAACAGCTAGAATTTTTCAAAAAGTTGTTACTTCCGAATTCGCAGCACACAGTAAAATTATAAATACAATTTAACAATGTTTAATGACTATTACAAGCAACATCCAATAATTCAGAAATATATGATCAATTAGTTTACAAAAGATTTTAATATTGATAAGGTAATTTTCTGTTTTATCCATTTTGCAAGAGTGTGTAGAAACATAGATAAAAAAATTGAAGTAACGAAGTGCTATCAAAAATATTATTAATCAAATATTGACCGTAGACATGAATA